TGTAATAATTCTTTAGTATATTACTTGTGTGGTGTAGAAGAGAATTATTTACTGCTTGCAAACCAATGATGGTAAGATGATGTCATGGGGTAGGACTGGGTAAGTCTGACTTCTTCCTACTCCATTCAAGCATGTACTAGGTATAAGCAAATTGATATTGGATTAGCATTTGTTGGATATGTGTAAAATTATGTGTGTTGTCATATCAACTGTCTTTACATGCTTGAAAGAATAAATCAAATCAAATCAAAATCAAATCAAGATATGACTAGACAAAGCATTTGGTTAGAGCAGTGCAGCCACTACAAAGTTTGTATTATTTATATCAAATGACCAAATGATTATGTGTAAGGTGCTGTGGCAAAAATTAAATGTCACTCATGACAAATGCACAGATAATTATTGCCAAGTCAGCTTTACAGAGCACTGTAGCTTCTTTTAGCTCACTGTTTTGATTTTGCAGCCTGCATGGGCACATCTGATGAATATAGCAGAACATTTTAATAATTTTATTAGATGGATGGATAATATATTAGATGGACACAACCACCTCTCCAAATGAATGATGATGTTGCTGTGTAACTGCTGGATGTGTGAATAGACAGATGTTTGCTAACATGTTTGGCAGCCTGTGGGAGGAGTCACTTATAATGGATTATGGTGAGCTTTGTTTTGCTACATAAGGGAGATGAATGTTGATACTAAATGAAACTCATTTACTGCAAGGTTGTTTAATAAGAGATACTAGCCTGGTGTTTTGGGGTTAAGGTTATATAATATTATTTGTAATAAGGTTTGGTATTAACTGTTAATATTTTAGTATGGTTTTGTTTGACACTTTGCTGTAACATTATAAACATCCTATCTGATTTGAGAATTATAAATCTGCAAAGAGTATACTGTGGTTTTAATTAAATAAGTAATTGGATAATTAACCAACATCAGGGCCTGTTTCACAGCCAGAGTAGTCACACACCTAATCCCACATATTACTTAAAAATGAATAAATAAATTCAGACATTTCCAGGGATTGATGGTCTGATATCAAAGCTGTTTTTTCTGCCCCAGAATCAATGACATCTGTTAAGGTCACTAGGGCTAAAGGTATCAAATATATCTGTGTGTGCCCAGCTACAAGGAACACTTGCTTTCATAAGTTTGTCACAGCAGGAACTGAAATGTTGCCTCACATTAAATGACAAAAACAGTGTGTGCCTGATCTGAACATGGTGTTCTTTCTGGCTTCCAAGTCACCATGTAACTGCCCTCTCCTCTGTTTCTCTGTAGTTTTCTGCACACCACATAAATGTCCCCATTTTGCCCCTCGTAAACCTTTTAAACCCCAGTGATCTTTATGTTTGTCTTTTAGAGGACCTCTGTGGATAGAAATAAATATGTCCTGTGCTGATCACTTTTCAAAAGACATAAATGAAGAGATGCATGTCCACCAAGCTATAAATAAAATAATTTAACAACACTGCTTCCCTCTCCTTGCTCTGTGGTGGTGTGTCTGCTGGTACAGAGGAAAAGAAAGCACATGGTAGGCCACATGGCTGGGATGCTGCAGAGCTATAATGCCATTGGCTCACAAGTGCCTGTCTTGGCCAATAGCATTAGAAATATTCAGCAGGGTGAGAACTGTGGGGTTGCTCTATAGTTTATGATGGCATTGCATTTCTGGCTGTTTAGACATCACTCATAAGCAGCACACCTCCGCTTTTTGGTTTTATTATTCTGAAAAAACTATTTGGAGTTATGAGGGGTGCCAAGATAATCTAGACATACCCAAGATTAAACATTAAATGGCTGGAAAAAAGAATACAATGGAGACTTGATTATAACTCTGCAGCAGATGTATGATCAAATTGGTAATGATTGTTTGATTGGTAAATCAAAATGGCATATTTGATGGTAATTCTGTCATTTTGATTTACCATCAAAAGAATGACAATGGGCACATTATCTCCCCATTTTCACTGTAATCAACACTGGATGAGAAGTGTTGAATTGTCATATACATAGTCAATGACTAGGGTTACTTGGCTGAATTAGAAGGGGACATATAGCATACAATTAGTCCAACTTGGTGTGAGGAGGTATTCCATAATGGATTTATAGCTTTATTTATAGCATGTCCTGCGCTCATGTCTTCAGATATCCTTTATTACACTATTCACTTGGTTCCTCAGCCAGCATGTGGTCAGCCATACAAATACACATTTCTCTCTTTAGGCAAGGGCCTTTTCACATTTTCTATTTAAACACAACACTGGAAAGCTCTCAGATTGATAGTATATTTAAGAAATGACAAAACCTGAGTGACAAAAGGCTTTTCTCTCTTTTTGATGAAGCTGTTTTCTTCAGGTTTCACAGGGTGTGATCTGACAGCAGCCTCCAGCCTTCATTTTGTTATTTTATTGCAATGCTTTTACACAAGAAGTGTATAAATTGTCAGATTGAATTGGCACATTCAAGCATATCTTTAGATCAAAACAAGTCAGAGCGACACAGCAGGAAGCATTGGCATGGCAACAAATAACAGTATTATGATGAGAAAGATTCTAATGCTGGCATTGCTTGGTATTTTTATTTGATAAATGACTGCTGGTAGGAACAGGACATTTAAGAAGCTGCAAGAAAATACATCCTAAAGACCCAGTAGAGTAACTGTAGAGTTGGGTGATAATTCTCATGGATCTTTAGGCAAAAGTGAACTCTTTAATATTATACTAAATCATTTGTAATAATAATAATTTGAAAAAATAAATATTTTAATTAGAGCAGCATTAAAGTGCCCATGGCACACTTTTCTGACTTATCTACAAAGTTACAACAATGAATTATCATCTTAAATGTGACTGAAAGCTCAAAAAAGAGGTGTACCTATGTTTTTGTACTTCTATGCAGACACAGTTCTGTTTAACTGAGAAACTCTTGCTGGCAAGACTTTTTTTTCCAACTATGTATAGTCTTATGCAGTAGTTTATGGATTTCCTTGAATGGTTATAATCTCCAGGCAGTTGCACCTCCAGGCAGTTGTGCGTTCATGTGAGCCTGCCTGACATCCACCGGTACCATATTAAAAGCGAGATTTTTTTTGACTACACATGGTTTTCTGGATATATTTTACCTCCTACTACTTGCATTGTGACCAGAGGATATGGAGAAAAATACAGGGCCTGAGGTTACTGCATGTCTGGGAATGTTCATGTACAGGGACTCGCTGTTTTACCTAGCTGGGTCTAACATGGCATGAATGGAGCAGCTGGAAATCTACAATTAGCCAGCCAGCCAGTGAAGCACCCTGGGGTGGTGAATGATCAACTGATCAACTCTGGATTCAGAGCACAGTACAGTAAGCACAGAAATGCTTAGAAAGTATTTTATTTGCAGCTGATACAAACTGTTTGTTCTGAAAATAATGTAAATGGTATTCTGAGAATAGTTGAAACAGAAATGGAATTAATTAAGAAATAGTTTGATATAAGCTGTCCATAAATTTGAGTAAAACAAAGTTTATTATGTTGCATACTGGTTAGGACCCAAAATGCAGACCAGGACTAGGCAGAAAACCCTAAAAAGTCTTTATTAACTGATAAGAGTACAGAGAACAAAAGTATAGCTGTGGTGCCGGAGCACTCAGATGAGTCAGGTGGGCAGGACCTCCTGAAGGTGGTAGGCAAATGCAAATGTGAACAATGGAACACAGGTGAGTAGCAGACACAGGACTGAAGAAGATCCACACAGTCTTATGAATGTCACTAACAACGTCAAACTTCATCAATACACCAGCAAGAGACTGAGGGAAAGGAGGAGGTATGTATGGGCTGTAGACCAGGAGATGATGAGCAGCAGGTGAAAACAAAGAACGGTGATTGTGTACTGAGGTAGAGTTGGGGCAGGTGAGAAACAGGGCAGGAAGTCTAACAAAATAAAAGCTCTTAGAACAGGAAATGAAGCTGAACCATAACACTTCATAGTTTTTGGAAATGTGATTAGCATAGATGGGAACATAATTATAAATAATGTAGAAATATAAAGGGTTTATGAAATAAAGGTTTTGGGTGTTACTTCATCATAAATTATGCTGGAAAAAGCACATCAGTCATATTAAATCAAATATATCCAAATCACCAGCAAAGGATCCACCTGTACCTGGATCAAGCACTTCCTCACAAACAGACCACAGTCTGTCAGACTCGGCCCCCACTACTCCCCTACTCTCACACTCAGCACTGGTTCCCCTCAGGGCTGTGTCCTGAGCCCCCTGCTGTACGCCCTGTACACTTATGACTGCACACCATCCCACACAACAAACACTATCACTAAGTTTGCAGATGAGACTACAGTGGTTGGTCTCATCTCCGGTGGGGATGAGACGGCATACAGGGCTGAGGTAGAGAACCTGTCTGTCTGGTGTTCACAGAACGTCCGTAAAACTAAAGAACTGATTATGGACTTCAGGAAACATGGACCATGCTCCGATCATCATAAATGGAGAGTGTGTGGAATCTGTCTCCACCATCAGATTCCTTGGCATCCAGATCTCAGCTGACATCTCCGGGTCCCCTAACATCAAGGCTATAGTGAGCTCAGCAGCAGCTGCATTACTTGCGGGTCCTCAGGAAAAACAACTCGGATGAGAGGTTGTTGCTGGCTTTCTATCATGCCTCTGTGCAGAGCGTTTTCATGCACTGTTTGGGTGTGTGGTATGCGGGCTCCACAGTTGAGGACAGGAAAACTGTACAGAGGGTGATGAATACAGCACAAAAAATCACCGGCTGTCCTTTGCCCTCCCTGGACAACATAGCTAGGTCCCGCTGTCTCAGCAGAATCAAGGCCATCACAGGAGACCCCTCACACCCTGCTCATCATCTTTTTGACCTGCTGCCGTCTGGACAGCGCTTCAGGTCAATAAAATCCCATACCACCAGACTAACTAACAGCTTCTTCCCCTGGGCCATTCGAATTACAAATAAACATTAAACAACACTACCTCTTTCAGATGTGCAATATTACTGTGCAATTTCATTGTGCATTTTATATGGTAAAGGCATACAGTTGGCATTAAATGTGTAGATATTTTGTAAATATTGTATTGTTTTCTAAACTGTGTATTTGGACATGTGGGTATTTTAATTTATTTTTATTTCTTGTGCTCTTGTTTATCTTGTATTGTGAATTGTTGTTGGGATGCATTCACAGTTTCGTTGTACTTTCTTGTGCAATGTTGTACTTTGTTGTGCAATGACAATAAAGTTCTATTCTATTCTATTCTACTCTAAATATATTTTGCATATGAATATGTATATAATATGTATATAATTTTGCAGTTTGACCTTTGTTTTGCTTTATTTGTTTGTTTGTTTTAAAGACTGAAATCAACTAAAGTGAAACTGAAACTCACAAAGAACCACAAATAACACTTGGCTTTTGTGTGACCACCTAAGTTACTCTAAAGTAAAAAGACTGCTGTAATATTCGGTCAGGGTTGTGCTGTTCATCTACTGTGTACCCAACATCCATTTTCTTTGTTCTCTTCCTGCTATGCCAATTTCTTGATTGTACTCTGACCCTTTCCTCTTTCCTCATAGGCACCAGTCTACTTCAAGAGGTTGTATATTTAGTGAGCCAGGGAGCAGACCCAGATGAGATTGGTCTTATGAACATCGATGAACAGTTGCCTGTCTTAGAGTACCCTCAACCTGGTCTGGATATCATACAGGTACAGTATCTTATATGTAGGTAGAATTAATTCAGTGCTTGACCTGAGATTTGCATTGGGGGCAGGGTTTAGATTAAGATTTGTTATCTGGTAAATAATACATGACTCATATGCATATCCCAGTTGTTGTGGGTATACTTGTTGACAAACCAACAGCTTGTATAGATATGAACCATAAGGATGCTGGTACTGCTCTGTAGTTTATATACCATAAGCTAGGGTCTATCCTTTAGCTGAAAGACAACAGAGGAAGTCTTACCACATACAGAATCAAACTCTCTGTTTAGATTTATTTAAACAAAAGGTGCAAACCTACATCTGAACAGTTAACAGTGGCAGCAGTGTCCCCCTAGAGGCTGACATGGTATAAACAAGAATAGAAGTGACTGACTATTCCAGTCTATTCCTGGTGGTGCAAAAGCAAACGTGTAATTGGTGTAAGCCTTTTTAGGCAAATTATATTGTACTGTTATTCATAAGGCCTCCATATGTGCACTCTGACAATGGTTGAGGCTCCTTAAAATGCATAGGAAAAGGGTTGTTGTTTCCTGAAAAGCTAGTGTTAATCTAGAAGTTGTTTAGCTCAGCTCCTGTTTCCTTAAAGACTTTAATCATCCAGAATGTAATGTTTTGTGGGAATAAAAAGCTGTGACTCAACTAATGCCTTTAATGTCTCACTAACACGGATTCTACACTTAAAGGTCAAATACTTATAATGGGGAAATATTTGTTTATGTCCTTTGTGACGTGGTGAGAACTTTCCAAAGTCTGAAAAAAAATCCTAGATGAGAGGCTATCATCAGCTGACTAGGGCTGCCTCAGTCGTGTGTTCCCATGTGCTTTTGTTGTGCTTGTTGTTATTCTGCAACCATGCCAGGATTACCTTCATTAGGAATGAGCTTCTGAACATCCAACAGCTCAGTCTGGACATTTTTTCTCAAGTTTTCACCTATAGTGGAAGCAGTTTGGACAATTTAGCTGGTGGAGCAGCAACTCTTCTTGGGACTTGGAGGAGATGCAAGAGGGGGAAGAGGGCCAGTGCCCTTGAAAGGCTATGATGGCAGGCTTACTGAACATCACTCCCGGCCATACATTTAGCAAATCATTCCCTAGCTAACAAAATGGACGAACTGCTGCTCATCAATCGGACTAACTCTGACTTTTCACGTTCTGCTGTGTTATGCTTTGTGGAAACGTGGCTTAATGACTCAATCCTTGATGAGGCTGTTTGGCTGCCAGGATTTTAGATCTACAGAGTGGACCATGTGAAGGAATTATCTGGAAAGAGAGGAGGAGGGATCTGTTTCTATATTAATGGAGGTTGGTGTAGGGATGTCATAGTGCTGGAGAGAACTTGTAATATGGACTTAGAGACATTATTCATTCATTGTAAACCAAATTGTAATTTATATTTTGCCACAAGCCTGCATCAAAAGTGTGTTGCAGCTCCTAGCCAACCAGATAATAAATATAGAACAGAAACACCCAGATTCCCTGTTCATTATTTTGGGGGATTTTAATGGAGCAAACATTATCCATGAATTGCCCAAATACAGACGTGTCAGTTGTCCCACCATGGATAAAAACAGAGTGGACCATTGCTATACTGTAATTAAGGACACCTATCGGTCTGTTCCCCATGCAGCCCTTTGGCTTTCGGACCATTGCATGATCCACCTCATTCCCACTTACAGACAGATACTCAGACCTGCATATGGTAAGAAGATGGACTGAAGAGGCAAAGTCAGAGCTACAAGCCTGCTTTCACTGTACAGACTGGGGTGTTTTTGAGGCTGCAGCTACAGTACAGACCTGGATGAGTATACTGACATGGTGACATATATCAGCTTGTGTGAGGACATGTATGTGCCCAAGACTCTCTGCACATGCAATAACAATAAACCTTGGTTCACAGTAAAGCTCAAACAGCACTGTCATACCAAAGAGGAAGCTTATGGGAGTGGGGACAGGTCCCTGTATAACCAGGCTAGAAACACACTGACAAAGGAGATCAGAGTACCAAAGAGGAGCTACTCTGAAAAGCTGAAAAAATCAGTGTCTGGCCAATGAGCCATCATCAGTGTGGAGGAGCCTACAGAACAACACGGGAGACCACCACCCCCTGGCACCCCCTCTCTCACCTCATCTTTGACTGGCAACCAATAGCTGCTTCCTCCAGGACCACTTCTCTTCCCCTTGGTCCCCACCTCTGAGGGTCTGTAAAAAATATTTGCGTAGCCCTTTTAAAAAACAAAAGATCAGAAAGGCACCAGGCCCAAACAGTGACCTACTCCTGCCTGAAAGTCTGTGCCAACCAGTTGGCTCCTATTTTCATGCAGATCTTCAATAGATCACTGGAGCTTTTATGTAGTTCCGTCCTGTTTTAATTGTTCCACCATCATCCCAGTTCCCAAGAAACCCTCCATCAAGGAATTGAATGACTACAGACCTGTCACTCTGACATCTGTAGTCATGAAGTGTTTTGAAAGACTGGTGTTGGCCCATTTGAAGGAGATCATAAACCCCCTGCTGGACCCCCTGCAGTTTGCCTACTGGGTGAACAGGTCAGTGGATGATGCACTCAACATGACTCTGCATTACATCCTGCAACAGCTCAACTCCCCAGGGACCTAGTATGCATGAGTGCTCTTTGTGGACTTCATCTCGATGTTCAGCACCCTCATCCCGGACATCCTCGACTCCAAACTGACCCAGCTCACTGTGCCTGCCTGCACCTGTCAGTGGATCAGACAGTACAGACAGTAAGCAAGACCCCTCACATCCTGGTCACAAATTGTTTGAACTTCTCCCCTCTGGACGGTGCTACAGGTCAATATACCCTAATATATCTAGACACAGAGGCAGTTTTTTCCCCTGGGCCATCACATTTATGAACGGTTAGTCTATGTTTAGGGGTATTGCAGGACACTGTACACATCAGTGTGCAATAATGTACAGATGTAGCTACAGCAGCTTTTAACATGTACACATATGTATGTGTGTACATTTTTGCCTTCATTTTATTTTACTTGTGGTTTTGGTTTAATTCTGTTTTTATATTGTTGTGCACATCGGGGGCCATTGAAGTCAAATTCTTAGATAATATTTGGCAATACAGTATATTCGTATGCTTACATATTTATAACAGAAAGCCTACATCACAAAGTGGTGGTGTGAAGTTGATGTTGCATTACAGGGGAGACAGACCATATACCCCCATTAATACTCAGCCTGGCTATCTGTTTCAAAATTTGTATAACCCCCAAATGCATGTGACAATTATTAGCCAGAACTTATCTGCATGCTATGATGTAGTAGAAAACAAGGAAGACAAATTCATTGTATAAGACAGATTCAGAGCCAACATCAACAAATTCTCAAAGTGAACAAGAACTCACTGCAAGTCTACTTTTAGAATGTAGAATGACATCTTTGTTTCCATTTGTAGTTATTGTTGATATGGAAATCCAGCCACCTAATTTGAGATATCCTGCTGACAAACACTTAAACAGGGCAAGCACACACAAACATTATCACCGTTTACAGGATATGGAGGTATAGATTTTGCAAGTGTTTTTTAAGCAGATAAAACATATCTGGTGGCACCAGACCATTTCTGACTGATAAGAGAATGTCAGAGTACAGATTGAAATAATGACTTCCTTTGTTTTTCCACAGGAACTGACGTCCCCTCGTCTGATCAAAAGCCATCTTCCCTATCGATTCCTTCCTACAGCCATGCACAGTGGAGAGGCCAAGGTTAACCACTGAGACTATATACATAGCCATGATTTTTGATTGCATTAAGATACAAACTTTTAAGTTGTCAGGTAAATTTTAGCTATATTTTCCTCACAGAGTTTTTTATGAACCAACAGAAATCAGATGGTGATTGGATGCTTCAGATGAAGGATCTGAGGAAAGGACAATTCATGTTGCTAATGCCATGTTTCCTCAAGTCCTTCCTCCTCATGTTTTCCTTGCATCTTACATCAGCAGGACTTGCTCATTTGTTAGCTGTTTGGCTACCAGTTGACTAGCAGCACCCAGTCATATTCATACAGATGTACAGCATCATTTTTTCTTTGTAATTGTTTTTTTTTAAAATCCTTTTTCACATGTGGTCAAGGCAACCAACACTTTCTTTTCACATGTGGTCAAGGCAACCAACAGAAACACATGTGATACAAAATAACATTGTAGCAACTAAGTACCCTTTACCAAAGTTAAATATAGATCAAGAAGCAAGAGCAGAAAGATCAAGTAATACTACCTTTGTTTATAGTAACAAGCAAAACCAGGTCATCTCTACATCAATATGCAGTGCAAGGCAGGTATTGAAAAACCAAAAGTCAACCCTTATTTATCTTATCTCAAGTTCTTGTAGAGGAGGCATTCAAGTTGTTCTTTATTTGGTTTTGCATCTATCACAAAATTGAGACACTGAAGGATAAAATTTGTGTAACGTGACTCTTGAATAATTGAACCTGTATAACTTTAAACTGTAGAAACCTGTGTCTGGTGTTTACAGAATATAAGTGAATTTGGTCTAATGTACACTTCCACACCTTCTGAGGCACAGCATCATTCAAACTTCTCTAACACACTAAATCCTTGCTATTGGGACAAAAAGAAAACATCTCTAAAAAGTAAGCTTTTCACTCAGTAGTACTAGCCATAGTAACTAATAAGTTAGCCAAATTTGTTAGGTGAGCTTGTATTTCAGCTAACAGTGGAAGGACACTGAGTCTAGAATTTATAAATTCTACTTGATTGTACTTTAACAATTTATAGTGAGTACTGCTGTGGTTCTCTAGGTGATCTACATGGCTCGGAACCCTAAGGACCTGGTGGTGTCCTACTATCAGTTCCACCGCTCTCTCAGGACCATGAGCTACCGGGGAACCTTCCAGGAGTTTTGCCGGCGCTTCATGAATGACAAGTGTAAGTATGTACTGCAGGTTACTAGAGGGCTAGAACACTCAGAACTTCCATGTGGTCTAGTTCACTCAACTCCTGTAGTAGTTTGTCTCTGTCTACAGGCCATTGTTCATGCAGGTATATTTCTTGCTCACTCTCTCTCTCTCTTTAAGTGGGATATGGATCCTGGTTTGAACACGTTCAGGAATTTTGGGAGCATCGTATGGACTCTAATGTCCTGTTCTTGAAATATGAAGACATGTACAAGGTAACATCATCACTGTCTCCTGTGTCTTTTTTAGTCTCTGTCTGCTAGTTACTTAGTTTCGCCTCTGTGAGGGTTTGACTCCTCATACTATTTGGTGTAATTCAGATAAACATTTTTGGCGGAGCTCCTGTGCTGACACTGGTGACTGTGTATGCTCTGTGCAGCTTTCGGGTGTGATGTTAGTCTTTATTCTTAATGAATGTATTATGAGAGGTGGATACAGAGCCAACACTCATGGTGCTTCATAAATCACAATGATAAGAGAGATATCAGTCAAATTAAACATTAAATGGCTGGAAATGAGCAAAATGAGCATGCCATCGGCACTTTAACTTCCTGGTTGATGTCCTGAGATGCTGCTTCAGTATATTAACATTATCCTCCTTACTCATGATGCCTTCTATTTTGTGAAGTTCCCCAGTCCCTCGTGCAGCAAAGCACCCCCACAACAGGATGCTGTCCCCCGTGCTTCAAGGTTGGGATGGTGTTCTTCAGCTTGCAAACATCCCCCTTTTTCCTCCAGACATAACGATGGTCATTATGAGGAAACGGTTCAATTTATGTTTCATCAGACCAGAGGACATTTCTCCAAAAAGTGAGATCTTTGTCCCCGTGTGCAGCTGTAAACCGTAGTCTGCCTTTCTTATGGTGGTTTTGGAGCAGTGGCATCTTCCTTGCTGAGCAGCCTTTAAGGTAATGTCGATATCGGACTCGTTACACTGTGGACATAGATACTTTGGTATCTGTTTCCTCCAGAGTCTCCACAAGGTCCTTTGCTGTTGTTCTGGGATTGATTTGTACTTTCTGGACCAAAGTACGTTCATCTCTAGGAGACAGAGCATGTCTCCTTCCTGAGTGGTATGAAGGCTGTTTTATCTCACGGTGTTTATACTTGCGTAGTATTGTTTGTACAGATGAACGTGGTACCTTCAGTTGGAAATTGCCCCAAAAGATGGGCAGCCATGGCTCAAAATGTCCTTGGGCAAGACACTGAACCCTAAGTTGCTCCTGGTGGCTGAGTCATCAGCATGTGAGAGTCAAATGCTTTTGTGTGCAAATGGATGAATGGAAAATAGTGTAAAAGTATTTGAGTGTGCTTCATCACAGAGAAAAGCGCTATACAAGTGTAAGACCATTTACTTGTGGAGTTCCACAGGTCTTGAGTGATTTCTTTTGATTTTCCCATGATATCAAACTAAGAGGTATTGAGTTTGAAGGTAGGCCTTAAAATACATCCACAGGTACACCTCCTATTGACTCAAATGTTGTCACTTAGCCTCTCAAAAGCATCTAAAGCTATGACATTTTCTGGAATTTTCCAAGCTGTTTAAAGGCACAGTCAACTGAGTGTATGTAAACTTCTGACCCACTGGAATTGTGATATAGTGAATTATAAGTGAAATGATCTATCTTTAAAAAACTGTTGGAAAAATTACTTATGTCCTGCATAAAGTACATGTGCTCACCAACTTGCCAAAATGAGTCTGTAAACTTCTGACTTCAACTGTATCTTAATTTATCAAATTGACTGTAGAAATTGTCATTTCATCCGGTCAGAATGCCATTTTAGATATCTGAAATGCAATTCTGAATATTCAAGGGAAATCTTTTAAACATTAAAACTGCTTTCCATTGTTGAACAGCAGTTACTTTTACTAAAATTAGTGCAGCATGGATAAGAGAGAAGACATCAGAGGAGATGGAATATACAACCACTGAACCAACTGAGGCAGAATGGGGGAGGATTTTCCATGCTTGTCCAGCCACTGACAGACATGAACAAGGAAATGCAATGCAACCAATCGCAATTGTTTTGTTTGTGTTGCCGCAACATGGAGTTACATTCCTGGGAGGTGCACTTCAGGCTATGGCATAGGATACAAGGCTACATGTTATCTACTCCATAGGTACAGCATAGATTTAACACAGAACCATACATCAAGCTTTGTTCTCATTTTACCTGAGTTTCAAACAGGAAGTTACTTCTTAATCTTAATAAGACAAGCTAATTTTCATGCAATCAAAAACAAAATGTTTGCAATTGTGAGAAACTTTTTAACTTATCTTGACATAATTTATTAAAATCATTGTCTTCTTTACCACAGGAAAGTAAATATACAGAGGTGCATACAGTATTCATGGTCCTCTCTAGTGCTCTGGCCCATAGGGGTGACTAGTAGAAGTAGGAAAAAGCTTCTCATGTGGTGTTTTTACTTCACACTGTAGCAATGCATTGTTGAGAGAGACCAAGAAACCATGACTAGATTAAGCCCCTTTCCCATCCTCTTCTTAGAGCATTGTTGTGTAAAACTCTCCAGTCTAAGAGCTCAATATGCCAAATCAATATTTTATCTTTGCTTTGCCAAAGGTCCCCTTTTACATTATCATGTCTTATCATGTGTACTGGGCTCACACTCACACCTGTCCTCTGTTTTGCAGATAGGCTTTTCTTACAATAGATTTCTTATACCTGAAGGAACAAAACACATTCCTTGATATAAATTGCCACTGCTGTGATGCAGGTGCTGACAGAGATTGACTCACTGGATCTGAGAGATCATTTCAAATTGTCACTTACTAAGCTGCATGAAAATCTGTCTGCTGATTAAGTGGTCAGCCAATGTACACAAAAGGGGGGCACATTTATTTCTAATTTAGGCCAAAAAGTCATACATGGTCAAAAAAAAAAAGCACTGAATGAAAATGAAATTAACATAATGGATTTAGAATTTAAGGCTGCAGCCTAGATGGTGATTGCCCGTAGATGTTGTCTACAGCCAGTGTTTTTCACCATTATGCCACATACAATGTGTTACGTAAGCACAGGGGACCGCAGTATGTTTTCTAGAGCTGTGGGTAGATGTTATTTAGGAAAACAGAATCACTGCCTTGGTATTATTTAAGAAAAGAAGACGGAGGCAGATTTCTCCCTGTATGTGTGTGATTACTGCTTTCCCATGGTTATAAATCCCTCTCTTCTCCTCTCCTCTCCAGGATCTGGGGACGTTGGTGGAGCAATTAGCCCGGTTCCTGGGTGTTTCCTGTGACAAGGCCCAAGTGGAGGGCATGGTGGAGAGCTGCAACCAGCTCATTGAGCAATGTTGCAACTCTGAGGCGCTGTCCATCTGCAGGGGTGAGTGGGTACAGCACACTCAAAGCACTTTCAAAGCACTTTCACACTACTTAGTCATTCACCCATTTGCACTCCCAAACACTGGTGTCATCACTGGCAGCAAAATGTATTGCTCGAGGACACTTTGATATGTTGAAAGGACAAGGCAGGAATTGACCCATTAATTCTCTGGTTAGGAGACGACCCGCTCTACCTCCTGAGCCACAGCCGTTCCCCTACAAGTGAAACATAAAGTTTCTTGGTCACTGTCCAGTTACATTTTCCATGAAATAGTGCAACAAATGCATTTCCTAGAAATGATGGTGAAAAGATCATTGTGATAATGCCAAATAGGATTAAAGTCTTGAGTGCATTTCAGAGATAGCGCTACACAGTATATCAAGCAGATGAGGATACTAAGATGATAGAGAATCTAAATGTAATTAATATCTTCAGTGTTCCCATGATATGAACTGAGCTATCTATTTTCTTCTTACACAGCTACTTAAGACATCCTCAGATGTATTTATAGTGGTGTTGATTCTCATAGCACTGAAAAATTTCTCCTTCAACACATAGACTTACAGTACACTTGTATAGCACTTTGCTTTGTACTGAAGCACTTTTAGAGCACTTTTAGACTATTAACCCTGTTTGCACTGCCAAGCACACACACACACCTGAGGGACAGCTACCAGGAGCAACTTAGGATTCAGTGTTTTGCTCAAGGACACTTTGGCATATGGACTAGAGAAGTTGGGAATGTCTGACAAATACTCATGCTTCTTATTATCTTATTATGCTGTAGGGATCAAGGGGTTTGTGTGCGGACAGTGTGCTTCCTTATACTGTATACTGAAATTAGATCAAGATTAGACAAACAGGGACTGACAGCAGAGTTTTGACAACAGTTTCATAAGATGTTTCCCCTTTCACTTAGCCTGACTGGAATGCTTTGTCATTTCAATACACACAGACAACACCCATAGGCCCTATATTGAGCTGAGCTGGTTTTGGAAACATGACCATTATGACACCTGGTTACACATGGAACCGCAACACTAAAACACTTAACAATACATGCCTTATATTCCTTGTTGCTTTATATTCAAAGTGGGTGAAAAAGTTGAATAGCAGCTTTTAATATATAAATAATGAAATAATCATAAAATGAATACTCACATATATAGATTATGTAAAATATATACAAAATAAAACAAAATAAAGTGTTACGTGATAATTTAAGGATCTCCTTGAATGACATAAAATTCAGGCAGTTACATGTTCATGCGAGCTTGCCTGACATCCACCAGTGCCACCACCATATCAGCAAAATGTTATATTGCCTTGTTTGTTATGTATACGTTCAATAAAACATGTTAAAAAAAGACATCCACCACTGCCATTGTAAAAGTGGAATATGTGTCTGTGCACTCTCAGATGTTGAGTCGCAAACTGATTAGTGCTCAAAATGTGGTTTGTGCGCCCTCTAATGTTTTGGAGGGGATTTACTTCTATAGTGGGGGAGCAGTCATGAAAAGACATTATGAAATAAAACTTTACTTGAAATAAAAAATAAAAACCTATTGGGAAAACTACCTTCATGAAACAAAAAGCATGTATTTTCATGTAAAAATATCTACAATTAAATAAAGATGAAATCTACAAAAATTCGTTTTATTTTGAAAATGAGAATAATTATATAATATTTTCTTCAATTCTGTTTCAAACTCTTGGTTTGTTTTTTAAATTAACACAATTTATTCATATGATTTATTTCACAGTGTCTTTTACTGCTGAACACTTTGAATGAATTATTGGATGTTTAATTTGTGTACATGGATGTCAGTGTTGTTACATTCAGATTAAGATGATTATAACACCACCATGTTGCATTACACCACAGATTGCATGTCGTTGTGTTTCATCCATTCTTTTACTTTTTTATTCACTAAGTTGTTATGATTTTTGAGTTTGGTTTATGTTACTGTTCTTGTTTTGAGTTTGATATATTATCTTTTCTGTTACCTTTTTTCAGTTTTTCCATCAGACCTTTTTTTCCTCTTACTGCATGGAAGTCTGGTGTGTGGTGTGCAATAAGCGTAGCACACAGTTGGCAGTAAGTCTGATCTGACTCTCGCAGGCCACAGCAGGTGAGTCACTGCCTCGTCAGGTTGCAGCTGAAGCATGTCAAAGATGAGCTGATCTTTTCCTTGCAGACAGTGTGTGTAGGTTTTACAGTCATGGCCAAAAATATTGGCACCCCTGCATTTCTGTCACACAACACATCACTTCTCACAGGAAATTGTTGAAATCTCAAATTCTTTGGTATTCTCATGTTTATTTCTTTGCATTGGAACGACACAAAAAACAGACAATTCTTCGCTCCTCTTTCTTTTCTCCATGCTCAGTGTGGTCCACACCACACAAAGGTTGAGTCACCTTTTATACATTTTAACTAGTTGCAAGTGTGATTTCTATATTGCCAGCACCTGTTGTTTGCTGCAGGTGAGTTTCATTACGAATTAAATGAGCATCACATGCTTGTGAAAAACTATTTCTTATGATTTTGAAAAGGTGTTAGTAATTCTGTCCAGTCCATTTTGGAGTTATGTGTGGAATGTATCAGATTTGGCTTTTTATATTCTGCATTTTTTGTTGTTCCAGTACAAACAAAATAAATAAACTTGAGAATACCAAAGAGTTTGTGATTACAACAATTTTTTGGTGCATCATCTGGCAGAAATGTAGGGGTGCTGATATTTTTGGCCATGAATGTAAATGAGTCACTGTCCTAACACCAGACAACAAGTATTTCAAAAAAAGAGAGAGATTCAGAATTTTAGAACAAACATGTCTTTGGTTTGACTTGAGTAGTATGGAGTTTACTTTTACAGGAGAAAACACATGGCTTTATAGCTACCAACTGGGATTTAATAATCAAACATAACTGAAATAGCTCCAATCTCGAGCCTCTAGATAAACACAGACCTGCTTAATCTGATGACTATTTATTATAACTTATTATCATTATTTGTTTCACCAGTTATCCTCTACTTAACTCTAGTTGAGGGTGCACATGTGCATATAAAGTACATGCACATTATCCCAGTTAGGAGTTTGGTTAACAGACTTAACAATGCAATGTGCATTGACATGAATGGTACACAGTAGATTGTGTCTAAAATCAATTAAAAACTAGAATTATCCATTTGCAGTTGCATGACTCCACCAACCATATTCAAAGGAATGGGACAGATGCAAGGTCACTGTCACCTTGAGCTTTGACCTTCGACCACAAAATCTAATCAATTCATCTTTAAGTCTAAGCAGACACTTGGGCTGAATTTGAAGAAATTCCCTCAAGGCAATGCAAGTTTATTTATGTAACACATTTTCATACACAAAAGCAATTTGAAGTGTTTAAAACAATGCACACAAATAGACAAACTGTTAAAATGCAGCCTGAGATATTGTGTTCACAAGAATGGGACAAACGGGCAAACGGGCAACCTGACAACGTAATTCTTTGGCCATGGCTATTGCCGGTGCAGAAGCATAAAAACACTTCCTCCTCTTTGGTGCCCTTCAGTTGATGGCACCTAAGGTGACTCTCTAGCTTGCCTATGCCTAAACACAGCCCTGCTGATAGGTGAAGGACTGCAGACACTGGTTTGTGTGTACCATCACAACTGCATCATGTATATCATCCACCCATCTTATGTGATGTACAGCAAAATTAAACTCTGTCAGGGCACTTTCTCTTTCAGTTGTCCTGAATAAGTTGATACACAGACACCAGGTACTTTCAAAAGGTGACTCGAGGTTTTTTAAAATTGCAATTGTCCACGCTCTCTCTCTGTGTCCTCCCTGCAGGTCGTGTGGGTCTGTGGAAGGACATTTTCACAGTATCTATGAATGAAAAGTTTGACGCAGTGTATAGACAGAAGATGGGCAAATCTGACCTGACCTTTGACTTCTGCCTGTGAGGAACGCCTCCTGCTAAAACTCCACACTCCTACATCATCATTCAGTCAATCAGTCTAAAGTTTTGGGATTGCACAGCAAGACTTCACCAAGAATGCAGTCTGTCTCAAGTCAACAAGACATTAAAAATCACACCTTTGCGGACTGATCAAAATGAATCCACAGTTACAAAAATTTTATTGAAATTTCTCAATCAATAGTTTAGCCAAGCCTCCCTCAACCCCTACTTCCACAGTATCATGGTAGGTTCCTACTGCTGTATGTGTGTAGTGACCAGGGTTCAACTGATGTCGATTTTTGAAGGCTGAGCTGAATTATTGGTCAACATTTATATTCACCATCCTATAACATAGCAACTTTCATAATAGAGGTTCAAGCAAGATGCAGATACTTGTGACCGAAGCACACTGAAAATCACATGCTAATGTGGCTCCACAGTTTCTCCTCTAAGGTATTCATTGTGTGGCATCCATTTTTACTCATGAAAAGTTACAGAGGCAGCTTTGAACAATGAAAAAAGAGAGATTTAGAGAGTCCTTTCAAACAGTGTTGTGGACTTATCCCTTCCAAAAGCATTGAATGGAACCAATTGAGGTGGTCTGGACATCTGAGTAGGATGCACCTGTGTAGGTGCTTCAGGTATGTCTAACTGGGAGGAGACTCAGGGCAGACGTAGAACATGCTGGACGGATTACACATCCCATTTGGCCTGGGAATGCTTTGGAATCCCTCAGGAAGGACTAGAGGAAGAAGCTAGGGAGAGTTGCATATGGGCTATTTTGCTTAGCTTGCAGCTTAACATTCAGGTTATATAAAAATGTAGGGAGTTATAAAAAAAAACATTAGTTTTTTTTTTTTTTTTTTTCCCCTTTTGCACAGAGGCCTCTGTGGCCACAATTGGAATTGCTTTAACTAGAGAGAGGAGGTGGCAGTTAGGCCATTTGGAAGAATACTTTTGAGCTGACAAGAAGAGTTTCACTGGTCAACTGGTCCTGTGCTAATACTAAGCTATCTGTCTTGTCTTAAACATGATCCTACCATTCTGAAACATCCAGTTGAAGTCTCCAGTCTGCAACAGCAGGTTCCTCTCCTTCCCATTCAGGATCAGACTCTGGTGCATATACCTCTATTTTCTGTCTTGCTTTTACAGTTGCAGCCTTTACACAAGGTAAAGCTCGACAATAGGAGGAGGACTTGCATTATTCATTAGGTCCTATTCTGATCAGTGTAAGTGCTCGTATATAGTGTAGATCTTATGCTAATAATTTCTGATATAGCCTGGCAGAGGATGGGGGGAATCTGGGCTGTTTGTAAAGATGGATTTAGAGAAATTTGAACATTAGGTGACTTTAATGTCACAGATAAGTATAAACTACACTCAATATTTACATAAATAAGTGAAAAAGAGAATAATGCCATCTCCTTATGCTATGTTTTGATAACAGGCAACTTGTGTGCAGATGGTCAATCAGAGCTTTACTAAAAACAGCTGCCTGCTGCCACTGGAATAAGGTTGAAACAGTAAAACAACAAATCAGAAAATCCAAACAAGGTGCTAGTAGATTCTAAAATGCCCTGGAGAACTGGGGGGTACAGCAGGGTGATAATTCTCTGTGGGGTCCTGGCAACCACTTTCACATTACACATAGTCATGTGTCCCACTTTTATTAATGCAGCTGTAAAGTTACATTTAACCTAAAACATATCTTATGTTTAACGTGTGTGATGTCTGCTGCGTGATTTCTCAATGCCTAGTTCACTTTTTTAAATATGCCATAGCACCTAGACTTCAGAAGTACCCCAAATCTATTTTAAAAATTTTAATGCAAGTCATGCAGCCAGTCACTGCTTTGACTTGTGCAGTGCATAATGGCCACAGATATCCACATGTTGCCTCTGTAATTATTTCCAATGTTTCTGGCTGTCAGGTGGATATGCAGTACCCTCTGAAACACGTATGCCTTCAAGGGACACTAAACCTCCCCAGGGAAGCCCAGAGTAGTGAAACAGTTTTACAGTTAATACAGTAACTGCAGGTCAGGCTACACACAACTATTTATTTGTGGGGAAACTGGAATGCATTACTGCCTGTAAGCAGGGAATTTACTCATCCAGCAACACTGTGCTGGTGCTGGGATGTCGTTTGCTGAGAAAACATACAGTAGCTAAATAGAAAACACAATGCTGAAAGTGAACGGCAGGTTTCACCTAGTTCATTCACATATACAGTATGTCCCTCTACTCTGCCAAACTGTTATATTGGTCTAACTCTGATGCTGAATTCATTAGATGTTACTCCAAGCTGGGTAGTAAACTGTAAGAGGCAAAGCCAAAACCTGTAGAGAAGAAGCTTCTCATGCCAGCATCAACACAGCAGCTCACTATCACAGTGGGGAGGGTGAAGCGTGGTGGATGATCATTGTTTTTGTTATTTGTTTAAGGGTGCTGCAGGATTTCCAGTCACCATCACTGATTGTCATCAGACTGTGTATGAGCTTGTATATGTGTGTGTGTTTGGGAAAAAGAGGGAGAGAGAAAGTTCCTAAACCCTTTTAGAAATCAAATTCAAGAACTCATCAATGATTTTTAAACTCACTATGTGTAGAATATGAAAACATCCAACTTTGGCACCCCCAAGTGGTACAATCAAAAAACACAAGATCAGACCCAGAGGCACTGAGGTGAACAATGCTGAAACACTCCAGGCTATATGACCCAGGTAGGTCATTTGTCCCTTCCATTGCCTGAAATAGCACCACTATGTTGCCAGGCAGAATTGCACAAATTCTGCCAACATTAACAACAACACAGGGAGCTTCTCATATGACTGTTCTATGGGCCTCAACCATGCTCAGCTCAGAGGTTGTTCCAATATGACAGGCTGTTCCAAGTCTCTTATATTGGCTCTGAGAAGTGAGGAGGCTGCTGGGGCAGCCCTGAGTGAGGATACACAAGTCCATCCTTTGTGGAAGTTTCTTATGTACCGACATGCCCCGTTATCAGAAATCAGTTGGTGAATGGATACTGCAGATGAAGGAATAGAGGAAAGAACATCTCAGGTCTTTAGCACTGTGTTTCCTCGATTCCTCTCTCCTTACATTTCTTCCTTCCATCTTACATGGGCAGGATTAAGAAAAGACACAAGTGAGGGAAATGACAGCCCATAGAAGAGACTTGAGCAACATCCATGCATCACATAAACATAAACATGACAGCAAGTATAGTGTAACTCCATCATTAGGGAAGCTTCCATAAACATGCAATTGCAATTATGAAACCTTCATTACATTTTGGTTAGGTTAAGAAGTAAACACTATGTGAAAGGCCTCACATCATACACTGGACTCAAACCCTACTTGCTCCTAGCCATCCACTACTGTCACCTCCTCACCCTGATTCTCTGCGTCTAAATACTACTTCACCTAACTTACTCCTTTGCTCCTGTCATAATTACTGTGATCACTAGGTTGCCAAACCATAATGTATAACTGTTGGTGATAATAACCTGCTGGCACAAATGACCCACTGAGTCGTTTTTAGAGGAGGACAGTCTCAGCCGAAAGCAACACAAAGTGTGTCAGTTTTCATTGGAAGTGGAAATTTATTCTATGAAAATGTCTTATGCTATTAATGATGCAATAAATAAATAAAAATTCCACAAATAGTGGCTTTAAGGACAAACACACCCCACTTCTAACACTGTGTTTCAGATGTAAATGTATATTTTGTACAAACATGGTAGTTACTTAGCATGTGAGAGACAATTGCACTGTATTAACTTGCTCAGTCTGCCTTCCAGTGGTTAAAATAAGCAGCTGGTGTTCATCAGCAGATACAGTACAGTATATACTGTGCCATACATACACAGGTAATGCTATATACTGCATAATGTGTTGTGTCTCAAATGTACAGGTCAATTGAAGATGTTCATCTTTAATATTTAAGGTTTTTCAGAAATTTTTTTTTATTTCACTTGATTGCACCTAAAAATAAAAGAATTATAGAAGCTAAGATGTAAACAAAAACACATTTACATACATACAGAGGTGTTTACACTAACAAATATTCACATATGCAGTATATGAATTTAAAAGTAAACGGAGTGGTAGGAAGCTACCAGTTTTTACAAAAACAAGAAACACACGAGGAGAACATTCAATTAAAATAAGGCCAGGACATTGCTTTAAATTTAATACAGAGGACTGATAACAAATTTTACTGATAAACATGGTGAATAAATCTAGTTCTGTACCATATACCAATACAGAACTCTGTCAGCAGATTTTTCTTAGGAGGAATTCTGTTTGTTTTAAAATTTAAAGTTTGGAAGTACATTGAAAAGCTCAAGCGCAATTTAAACAACATTTAATTTAGGAATGTGCACCATGTGAGGACAATATTCACTAAAATCAGTTCTTAGAACTATGAGATTAATACAGAAATCACATGAATTACTAATGTATATTAGTGGCTCAAATTCAGAAATAAATTGGACACCCCTCGGCAAATTTCATATTTTGTTAACTTTAGAAATAAAAGGAAATAAATGAAACCCCTGCAGCAGTAATAGCAGACAGGAAATGTCATCAGGAACTGTCAGGTGAAATTCTGACTCTGCAGTCCTTGTGGTAACAGTCAACAATAATACTCCTCTCTGATGATCTAAGAGATGCCTACTAAATGTGAGTGTATGAAAAGTTATCAGTATACTTCTTGCCTGAATTTCCACTGTCTGAGACATAATTAAGAAAGTTAGGGGAACTGTGGATGCCATGACAAGATCTGGAAGATCATGAAAACTTGCAGATCTGACTGGACATTTGCTGGGTAGAAGGGCAAAGCAAAGCAAAACTAAATAAAGAAAGAAAACAAATAAAAGGTTTAATCATTGCAGAGGAGCAGGAGTGGTGGTGCCATTGTGTAGTGATGATGCACAAATATAGAAGAGTCATCAGAAGGAAACTAAATCTGCAACCTCCTTGCAAAGGTCAAAAGCCTGCAAAGCAACATTTGAATAAGTCAGGGTGGTTTTGGAAACAAGTGCTGGTTAGAGTGGGGGTTAGAGTGTAGAGTGGATTCCACTAAAACATCAGCAAATTGTGGATGTAGACATCAGGCAATCAGTCAAATTGAAACTTAAAGGAGTCTGAGCTTTACAACAGGACAATGATGAGATTGCATACAACAAAAGTTGGTATGACTCTCATACACATCTATATCATATACTTAGTATATACAACAGCAGCAATATAACACCATCATATACTTAGTATATACAACATACAGTATATACAACAGCAGCAATATAACACATCTTTAAAACTAAAAGGATAAACAATAAAATCCTTTAAAATCAGAAAAAAAAAGATCAGCAGTGGTTAACAGTGGTAATCAAAGTATGGATCCAACAGCCACAGCAGTCATTTGGCCACGTGCCCAAACACCAGATTTATGCATCCAACTGTATATGTACATTCATAACAGCTAAAAAAAACAGCAGAAGAAAAATAACCTGTGCTTTTTAGCAGTTTAACTGTGAACCTAATAACTAATGCACATTCATAAATTAACATAAAGCTATGCATGCAAAAAAGTGTGGCTTGTCTTTGCATGGCCCTGGCTTATCATTCAGATGTTGCACTGATCAGGGATCATATAAGACATACAGCAGCATGCTTCCCTCTGTATGACCTGTGTTGAAATCACTGGAGCCAGTGTACTTCCTGTACCATGCACAATAACAGTAAGAAGTCAAGCTGATTTCCATGTGATGTTACTTCAGATGCTAATATCACAGTGCAGACCCTGTACAGGCTGCTTGAATAGATTATTTACTAATGAATCTCAAACTACCCACAAGGCAGTCACATTTCAGTCCATCTCTAGTGGCTCTTGGATGCATATGGGGAGCTGAAGCCCACTTTACCTGGTTAGTGATCAGGCACTTGTGTAGCTCATGCTTCAGATTACTTGGAAATGTCAGGTTTTGTCTGCAGGAGAGAAGACATCAGAGTATTAGCTCACAACTAGCATTCACTGTATTCTGCTACTCACTGTGGTGTCATGACAGCAGCTGTATTTGGAGACAAACCCAAACCACTGCTTACAAACAGCGGAGCACTTGCTCTTCCTCCTGCTGCTCCTCCTCCTCCTCTGTTGCCACAGTAGTTTCCAACAGGCCAGTCTGTGCACTCCCCAAGACGCTTGTGAATGTCTTTATTGTGTGGCTGTAAACCTCAGCACACACTCGTCACGCCCACTCTTTTGTGGCTGCTCATTCTTTCTTTTCATTGTTCTTTCATTTCTCTATCACTGTTTACAGCCGTTGGCAAGGTTTCAGTTGTCCATTTCTGCTTTTATGGTTTGTTTGGGTTTTCATACATGCCTCTTTCTGTTTCCTGGGTGTCTTGCATTGTATTTTACATGCTTTGCTTGCTGGTTCATTAATAAAGTTGTGTCCTCAGGCAATGTCTGGTGACAGTGTTCTATTACTTTTAACTCTTTGGTGTTTTGTTTGGAAATACTGTCTATTGCAAAAATGTGTTTAGTGCCCATAAAGTGGTGCTTTCAGTAGAAGTGGAAAGGAAGCATCAATAAAATTTAGATTGTCACTGCTATGAAATTCAGCTGGAGAAGAGAAATGGCATACAGTATAATTCAGCAATGTAAACTGCTCTTCTTATTTGGATAGGATAACATTTAACCCAGAAATGGTCAGCATCAGTTAAAGGGGAGAGTTTGAACAAAAAGGAGCTGAGATGACACATAACACATCAACATTGAACTGGGTAATTGATCATTTATACTTCTGAGAACAATATGCACAATAAATGTACTATATGGTAAGTATCCCTACAGATGTAAGTTTATGAAACAAGGACTCAGAATATCAGAAGTTAAAGGGAAAGACTAAGTTAGTGAATGCTAGCAAACTTTAAATTAATATTAGTGCCCTTTGTACTGTAATTGTGCCACAATAACATTCATATTTATAAGCAACACACACAGTGTGATATTGTGCCTAGCAATACCTTGTTTTTGTTTTCATCTGTGTCCTGGAGGTCTGGGACTTAGAGGAGTACAAGTACAATACAGCAAAGATGTTCTCCTCTATAAACGTGTCCCCAGCAAGTGAACTCTAAACAATGTGACCCACCACTGCTTTGCTTACTCAGTGTCAGTTTTTCAGCCAAACTCACCCTCATTTGCACAGAGGGTGAGTTTTACACGACTTCAAGTAGTTAAAATTTACTAACTTTACAATAATTGTTTATGGGAAAATTGCCTTTCATTAAATATTTGTGCCTATATTTCTTGAACGTTTTATTGTATTTTCTATATTGTTTATTTTGATTTTGATTCTTGCATTCATGGTAATTTTCAACTCAAAAGGACTTATGCATGACTGCTTCAGTGTGGAATGTCCATTACAAGAGCATTGTCTCCTCCCTACTGTATCTGTGCTACTTCTGGTTAAGACTTGAACAGGCAGACATGGAACAGGGACATGCATAGTTATAAGGTCTTTATTAATACTTTATTAATTCAGATATCTCCACCATGGGTAACATTATAAAAATAAATAAAACTATGACTTGGGTGAATGCAGCTTCTTTGTCCATAACTCTGTGCATGGAAACAAATAGCTCTGCACATTATCTGAGGAGCCATAGGAGCCAAGTTTGATTTAATATTTTATATTTTACATTTTAAGAAGCTCATAGTGATGCATGTCTCCTACACCACTGCCTAAATGCCACCTCTACCTATCTCTGTCAGACTGATAGGTTGGACCCCTCTTGGGCTCCTCTAAATACTGTTAAATATAGGAGTAAACTTCCTAACTTAAGATAACATATAGGTAGGACCAAGTTAGTTTATTTCCCTCTGAGATACTTGATAAATACAGGCCTGATACTTGGGGAAAGTTGTTCTTACAGTTCTGTCTTGTTATACAAAACATCCTCCAGAAGATGGCAGTAGAAGATTTTTTTTTTATCCCTTTGAAGCAGCTGACATTGACAAATGAAGCCCTGTGGCCGTGGAGACTGGTCAGAGGAGAAGTCAGTCTGGCAACTTTAGAACAGACAGTCATTTGTTTGCACTCGTGTTGCTCTGTCTGGCTTTAGTATTTTTTTTTGATCTGGCCCACTGACATACTCTTCGGTATGTTTTATTTCATACATTCCTCAGCAGCCAGCAGATGTTTAGCAAAAGGAATAAATGAAAAAACAGCCCCTCTGGGCAGCAGTGATATTTCTGGTTGATGTCAGATATGGAAGTTGTCGCTCTGCATCCATGAAGCCTATTGAGAGTGTTGAGGCATAGTATGAGGACGATTCTCCTCTCTGCCACTGATCAATTAAGCGTGCACGTGTGTGTGTGTGTGTGTGTGTGTGTGTGTGTGTGTGTGGTATGTTTGGTGTCAGTGCGTGGCGGTGTAACCCCCCGATCTTCATCTGTGTGCACCATGCCTCTGTCACTCTGCTACGCCACTGTAATCGTCTCCACTGTTCCTCTTTGTTCCATCTCAGTGCTCACGCCTGACAGTTTGACTGCCTGTCTTTCCCACACAGATTTCCTCCCATAATATCAGCACTTTGGGTGCCCCCCCCCTCCCCATTCACACAACCCCATTTTCCTTCATCCCCCTGCCCATCTCTCCCACTCACCCTTATTCATTAAAGACGCAGTGTGTGTGTGTGTGTGTGTGTGTATGTGTGTGCTTTCAGGAGAGTTCTGAAAAGTTTACTTTAAAGAACTATCACCAGAGTAGCAGCTGTTGTTCTGGTGACATTTTGATGTGGAAGTCGCTTTGTGCTTGAGGGAACGAGATGCCACAGGCAGCCCAACAATCCCACCCCTCCGTTCTTTTCTTCTTCTTCTTTTGTTACTTATTTATCTATGCAGTATCATCACAAAAAGTGATCAAAATTCTTTTTGTTAAGTGCTGATCAGTTATTAAATGTGAACTGGTAGCTGGACAATGCTTGAATAATTAGAGCTTATAGAGAGGAGGGAGGGCTGGTGCATGAAAAGACAGTCGCAGCTGACAAATCTGATGAAGAATAAGCCTGTGACAGCCAGACAGCCAGAAGAGAAGGAGATAGAGAAAATACACTGCATGCCATGGGTTCAAGCTCTTCCTTTGACTTAATATATTTTTTCTGTTTATTCAATGTGATTAACACTGCTTCTTTAATATTACAGTATGCTGTGGATGCATGGATGTAGGGTCTGGTGATTTTCTATATTTTTCTCCATGTCAACAAATTCCATATGCAGAGCTTAAGCATCACTGAATGTCTCCTCTAACCGATACTATTTGAATCAGATCCTGCTGCATCTTCCTCTGTCCCTCAGCGCTTCATTGCTTCCCAAAAACTATTAAAAACACATCAGTGAACACAATGACCAGCTGTTTTAGGAATCACTGAGCCTCTCTCTATGTCATCCTAAGCCCCATGATGCCTTGCATAAATTACGGTTACAGCCTCTGTTTGTTACATTCAGTGACCTGGTGAATGTGGGTTACATGTGTTACATTTGTCTTTTTAGGGAATAAATGACAGGATCATATGATCATCTCTTTCCATTCTACTAGAGAATGACCTGAGGTAGTAGCCTTGGATAATGTACTATATACTATATGTAGCAACTTTATTGATTCCCTTTAATATGAATGGTGGTGGAACACAGATGTCTGTTTTAAAGTCCACACGGTCACTCATCACCACAACACTTAGTTTATGCTAGGCCACATTCTCTGGTCATACTCTAGAGTCTAGAACGGAGAGAGAGGATGCTGTTTTAAAAAAGTTGGACATTTTAGGAAATACATTTATTAGCTTTTTAGTTACAGTTTGTAGTCAATATGAAGCTACCATAAGCAAGCAGCTGACTTAGATTAGCATAAAGACCAGATACATGAGAAACAGTTGGCATGGTGTTGTTTGTTGGTAAATGGACTTACAAAGTGCTTTACAATATTTATCCATTCGCCCACACTGGGCATCAGGCAGAACAGCAATATAAGAACACCAGGAGCAACTTGAGGCTCTGTGTCTTGCCCAAGGACACTTTGACATTTAGACTGGAGAACCAGGGATCAAATCTCCAACCCTGCAAATCTGGGATGACCCGCACAACTTTTTGAGCCACAGATGCCCTGTTACTCCTACAGTGATTTTTTTGTGACAAATTCCACTGGCCAGTTCTTCTAATTCTCAGCAACTAACACCTAA